GAACTGCACCTTTGACCACATCTAAGCAAGATTGATCAGTCAGTTATAATCCGGGTGTAACAAACATCTTGCTGAGGTAAGTCTGAACGCTTTTCATGGAGCCCGTCCACTTGTTGAGTTTGATTTTATCAAGCTGGCTTCTTGCCCTTGCTGCAGTGTGTGAATCCATATATTGCGCAATGAGGAGTTCCTCGAGGGAGGCAACCGGGGTGGCCTTAAGCCACCTTGTTAGTTCTATTTTGTGAACCCCAACTCGCGTAGCTTGGACTTCTAGGAAGCCCCACATAACCGGCTCGACATTCATTCCCATGATCACGGATTGGATCTCGGGTTGAGTCCCCAGAACTTTGAAGTATGCCCTCATGGAGCTAATCCAGGATTCAATGTCCTCTTTGCTGTCGTACTTGGACGGTATTTGCACCGGCTTTCGGTCCACATAGGGATCGGCGTAGCTGGGCCCAGCACCTGCTGGTTCAGATCTTGGGGCTGCAACAGTTGCAGAATTTCCTGCCTCGTTGCTTGTTACAGCAACAGCGGAATCTGCACCTGTTGCAGGTCCCGAGGGGTTTTCCGTCACACTCAAGGAAGAAGTAGAAGAAAATACAGTAAGAGGGGCAAGGTTAGTTACAATTGCAGCTCCGGAACCAGGGGGCAGAGGAAGAGGATTGGCCGCTTGGGCTTGTCGCAGTGCAGCAACCTCTACCATCAAGTCACGGTACTTGCCAGTCATCTCAGTCAGATCCTCCTGACGTGTCCACAATTTTGCGAAGACGTCGGCGATCTGAGTGGTATGATCTTCAAGGCTTCAGACTTTGACGATAGCAATGAGTATGGACTGCAGCTGTTCCCCACACTGCTCTTTGGTCAGCGAGGGGACAATTTCCAAGATGACCTCCTGACTTTTCAGCAACAATTCCTTCCTCTCCTTCTCTGTCTCTTGTTCCCTTTTGATGACACTATCTAGGAGTGCTTGCAGATACGGTTTCTCCGCATCGCTGCCTTCCACTGGACTGAGGTTACTTGTGGCTGGGCCATTTTCGGACCGTTGTCGTCGGCAGGTGGATCAGAGAGACGCCAATCAGCAAAAGAATCAATCAGACTCTCAAGAGGTACACTCCCCTTTTCGCTTGTATGAACACTTCGTTTCCCAGTCCTTGCCCACCCCAGACGGTCACTTTCCCTCTCTTCCTTTTCTCTCTCCCTCCTCTCTCTCTTCTTTCTGGTTGCGAGTCTCCACAGGCATCGGAAATTAACTCAGAGAAACATACTGAAAACCTCAGAGAAGAGAAGGTAGAACTCCTAGCTGGAGCGGCATTTCATTTGGACTTAGAGAGCAGCAAACCAATGAAAAGCAAACAAATTCACATGAGAGGTTTGACCAGTTTGATCAGACTGCATACAAGGTCCTCTCGAGTCCAGTCTGACCAGCTCTGTGACCGTGCAACAAATCAGACAACGAGTGACTAAATGCAACAATGGAGAATTGAGTGGTGTACAGGGTGCGAGTCAAGCCACGAACGTGCAATCCAAAAGCATGTGAAACGTCTCAACCGAGATCCCCTCGACAGTGGGTGTCCTAATCCAAGAAGAATGAACTCCGTATCTCAGTCAGGAAGACAATGGACTAATGCCTAACAGATTTGGGTCCAAACGGCTCTTCTTGTTTGAGCCCGGTCCCACTAGGTCCCAGAGGTCCCACGTAGGCTGCGATCAGGTCCCAACCAAGAGGAGTCCCACATGGACTCAGTTCAGTTTCTACCGCACCGAAAACAAAATTTCAACTTCCGGCAGAACCTACAGACTACAACCGTTTAGAGAAGACAAAGCGCTGTAGAGAGACTCGGCATTCCGATCAAGATACTCCATTTTCCATCCGTCCGGTAAGTAGGTAGCTCACATACATTCCATCACACAACCAAGACCACAAAGGAGTAGGAAAAGAAACCCAGAGTAACCCCAGCAGGACAATCCATACCATGCACACATACATGGGCATCCCGTAGGTGCACGACACTTACCTGAGTGGCCTTGAGCTTCGAGATGAATAAAACTCACCCCCCTCTCATGTGATCCTCCTGACCCCTCTAATGCTACCCATACACTAGTGTCCTATCTCCTAGGAGGGTCTGACTCCAACACCGAAGTGCAACGCCGGATCCCCCGTCGATGCTGAAGAACAAAGTAGCCACTTGCAGTCCGTAGATGCTCCCCACCAATAGATGGAGCCTCCCCCCAGGTGCTAGTGGTGTCTGCTCTTATCAGCACCACTAACACTGGTGGGGGGCATTTCTCAAAAAAAAAAAAAAAAAAAAAAAAAAAAAAGGATGCTGAGTGGCCGCTGACCCTCAAGCTCGCCTACTTGAGGGCAGCCCTTAAGTTGCCAAGTGTCTCCCTTGAATCAGATTCCAGGTGCGAGTGCCTCTCACTGTCCTCTCTCAAATTGCCGCATGAACTCTCCTCGAAATGTCTTGCCACCCTAATCACACTCTCAAGCAAACTGGTTAGGTTCAATGTTGATCCCACATGACCTAACCAGGTAGGGGCAGCTTCCGTTAGCCACACTGCCCCACTTCCCTTACATCCAACCCTAACCCTAAGTGTTGGCCTCAACCACTTAGGTTAGGGTTAGGGCAGCGAAGTCAATTCTCACCAGCAAGTAGAATCCGCTCTGATACCAATGTTATGATCCTGGCCAWTTTCGAGATACACATTCATCAGATAATACAATGCTGTCCAATTGCAGAAAGAAATGAATGAGCTTGAGAGGAGAGAGAAGGTTAGAAGAAGAAGAAGAAGTAAGAAAGAAGGAGAAGATGATGTACACCAGCATAGACAAATGATATAAGCTCTTCTTCTTCACTCAACTCTCTCTTCCTCCTTATCTCCTCCTCTCTTATTCACACAAGAATTAATAATACACTGTTGAATAGGTGAACCGGAATCAAAGTCCGAATCCCTCTTCTACTGCAGGTATCACTTGAGGTCCACCATAGCCAGGGCCGCCTCTCCCACTCTTCACTCTCATAGGCCGAGGCTATGGAGGACTACTAGGCTTTGCCCAGATGCTCAAAGGACAACCCAAAGCAGCTATGGCTGCTCCAACTCAGGTCGCCATGCCCGACTCTGCCTCGAAGCTTCTTGGTGTAGCTCTCCCCAGTTGGGGACTCCCTGCTGCAGCGCCTACCAAGGTGATGAAGATGGCTGCCACCATAGCCAGGTAAGTACCCCTGGCGCTCCTCCTCCATGTCCTTCTCCTTCCCCCAGCAACGCTGCTCTGGATAGCGCTGCTCCAGCCGGGCTCCAACCAGTGTGTCGCCAAACTTGCACACCGAGAATGAGGCCGGGCTCTTCGCCCAGCTGGGAGATATAGCAGCCTGCTTGCCTCTTCGGGCGGTGACTTCCAGGCCGCTCGGCCTTCCAAGCAACCGGTACCTCCTCCCTTTCGGAGGGAAACATCATTGCAGACTCTGATATTGCCCGTACAGGCCCTAGACCCAGACTGGTTGGACCGGTACCCTCCTAGACCTAACCTACAACTACTGGGCCTCTAAAAATGCCACTTTTGTCTTCTTCTGCTCGGCCTCCAGTACCCGCACATCTTCCTCTTCAAGGTGTGGTACCGGCCTACTCGCTACTTGAGTGTTTTTCCCGCTGCAATCCCTCAATGTCACGGCCACAGGTAAGTACCGGCCCTGAGGGCCCAATGAACGAGCAAGTGCCCTTGCGGGCCGGCCACACACACACTCAAGCCAACCAGCACTCAGACAGGCACGACCACACACACACTCAAGCCAACCAGCACTCAGACAGGCAAACCAGCACTCAGTCAGACATGCAGTCCATCAAGCGTGCACACACAGACTTAGTAGCAGGCAGGAGACTCAGCAAGGCATTCAGTCTATGGGCAAAAACTCAGAAATCAGCCGTGTGCTTCAGTCCATGTTTGGACGGGTCATCACATCTTCTTCTTCTTCTTCTTCTTCTTCTTCTTCTCGTTCCCCTTCACCAGTTCTTCTTCTTCTTCTTCTTCTTCTC